TTATTATTATTATTATTATTATTATTATTATTATTATTATTATTATTTTCCAAAAACAAATTTGGAGCTTTCATCAAAGCCCCAGTTTTGTTACCATAGAAGAGCATGTATTTTCTGGGCAATCAAATGCAAAAAAAAATGGATTCTGTCCACAGATAACTGGCTGATTTTGAGTTGTGCCTCGCTGTCCTTGTTCCTTTCTAGGCTTTTATGTAACTTTAGTGGTATCTCGCTGGTGGGGACAATACGAGAGTATCCCATGGCCTGACCGCATTATGAATCTGGTTTCAAGTAGCGTGGATGGGAAGGATGAGTATGGGCGTCTTCTGCGACGCACACTGATGCGCTACATTAATCTACTGAGTGTGCTGATCTTGCGCTCAGTCAGCACTGCAGTCTTCAAGCGGTTTCCCAGCATGGAACATGTAGTGACAGCAGGTAGGCATTGCCAAGACAACTCAGCTAGGATGAAATGCCATGAAAGTTGGTGCACCTTCTAATGATACTTCTGGAAGCTCTGAAGTTGACTGAATTATTTCTAGTAGTAAGTCCATCAGCTATAATAAACTGTAACTCATGTCAGACCTTCTAGGAGGAGATGGTGGAAGTTATAGTCCAATACATCTGGGGATACAAGATTAGGAGGAAATGGCTTACCAAGACGCAGACAGGAAGAATAAATAAATAATGTTTATTAATTACACTTCTATCCTACGTGCCTTTTCTCCAAAGGACTCACAGCATCGTACGTAGTTTTCTCTCTTTATCTATTTTAGTCTAGAAAATAGCTTAGAAAGAAAGATAATGCTTGCTGAATAAGGCAACTCAATGAGTTATAGGACTGACAATCTAAAATGATCTTTGCCTGATAACCCCCTCCTAACATTGCCTCTCAGTATCACACTCTATGAAGCTGGAGGGTTCGGTCATTTGGAACAGTTGCAACTTTTGTTTACTGCGAATTTCAAATCATAAGTAACTGGGTTTGATTTTCTTTGGGAGAACATTACTGAGTCCTCATGAGCAGGGGTGGAATACTACCGGTTCTCTATAGAACCGGTAGCTCTGAAGAGCAGCAGACACCGAACCTGTTCTGTGTTTGCTGCTGTTTGCCCTACCCGCCCGCCTGCCCGCCCGCTCTGACCTGTCCTTTATTTCCTGTTTTTTCAACCTCAGATGCTTTGCATGACACAGCTGAGGTTGAAAAAGCAGGGGGAAAGTGGCTTTTCAAAAGCTGCGCACCTGCACGCAGCGCTTTTCAGCTGTCCAGGAGGCACAGCTTAATATTTTTTACATGTGCGCATAGTCACACGTAGTCACCTAACCCGTAGTAACACCATTTGAATCCCACCCCTGCTTATGAGGTTTATAACAGGCAGCCCCCCCCCCCTTGAATACTATCATTTAAAAATCCAAGTGGTTAACATTCCTTTGTCAAGACCAAGATTCTAGCCACATAGCTAATCCTATGGATATCCATACTCAATCAAATGAGGAGGGCTATGCAGACTTAAATGATCACTAATTTTGTCTTTTAAAAGGAATTGCTCCAAGCAGCTTCAGCAGTTTCCCCAGATCATTAAGACTCCAGCCCTTTTGACTTCCTTTAGATTATTTTACTTTTTTTCTTCCATCCAATTGGGTCTGATTGTCAGAGACTGTCTGGACAAGTTCCTGCAATTTTTTTGCCAAGGTTTTTCATAAGTAGTTTGCCATTGCCTCCTTCCTAGAGCTGAAAGAAAGTAACTGGCCCAAGGTCAACCATCAGCTATGTGCCTGAGGTGAAACTTGAAGTCAGGGTCTCCTAGTTTCTGGATTAATATGTTAACCACTACACAAACTGGCTCTGTATAGTTATTTGGTAAACAGTTTTCTCTGTGATAATCCCTTTACCAGCTTGACTCTTTCTCTCCTACATTACTATTTTAAAAGACAACCAAAGTAATTAGAGTAAGATCCATTCAGTTCTGAAATCAGATCCTACATTTAATGAGGAATCTTTCTCAATGAAGATTCTCAATCATCCAGGCTGAGATGTCTAACGGTGATGTGAAGTTGTCTAAAGGTTGAATGATTGCAACTGGACTAATGTTTAGCTTCAGAGATGTTTCACAGCCCATCCAGGCAGTGTCCTCAGTCAAGCGCAAGGCAGTTAGGCAAAGAGTCGTTGGCATGTACCAACTCCTGCCACACCAACCTGAGAAGATTCAAACATCTCTGAAACTAAAAATTAGTCCAGGTGCAATGATTCAACTTTAGATAACTTCAGACATCTGTGCCTAGATTATTGAGAATCTTCATCAACATTTTGCAACACATTTCGGGGAAGAATCCCCTGAGCTTGGTGTGGCAGGAGTTGGTACATTCCAACAACTCTCTGCCTAACTGTCTACCTTACGCTGACTGAGGAAGCTGCCTGGATGGGCAGTGAAATGTCTTTGAAACTAAAAATTAGTCCAGCTGCAATGATTCAACCTTCAGATAACTTCAGACAACCTTCAAACAAGGATTTTTTAAAATCCAGTAACATGTAACTAGATGGATGTATTGCTTCATCCCTAGATCTATAGGCAATTGTGAAAGTTGGAGGGTGTTTTGAGAGGTTGTTTAAGCAGCAAAGCCATGCATTGACCAAAGGATTAGCCATATTGGCTCACAGGCTGATGGATCTCATGGAGGCCACTCTAGGGTATCTAAGCTTTTTTCAACCAAGAGAACATTTTATGTCAGGAATGTCTGCAATCAATCACTATAGGGAGAAAAACCAGCAGCAGTTTTCTATGATAACCAAGCCATATCCTTACTGGCAGTCTCTACTTGGCTAATACGTATGTAGAAATATGTAGAAATGACACCAGCAAACTATCCTATGCCTTCCAACAATCAATTTGAGTGGGTAGAGGATGGGGTTTTTTATTTCAATTGCAATGCTTTATTTCCATTGGCTTTGGCTTTGTTTACATTTTTCCTCATTCTGTTACTGTGTATTTTTGTTGTTCTGAGATTGATTGTAAAAGTTTACATTGATGAGCTTTATGAAAGTGTTATAAATAAATCAATCCAAGAAATGCTACCACTGCAGTCCAATATTTTTGTTCTGGGGGATAAATCAAATTAAATTATCTATAGCTAATTCTGAATAAGAACACTTAGTTGGACCTGATGGCCTAAGTGCCCCCTTCCAATTATAATCTCTTTTATAATTGAGGTATAACCTAAAACTACTCAAATTCAGCTCTGCATTGTCCAGGGAGAAAAATCTCTTGGATTCATATTCAATTCATACATTAAAAATGTTTTCATCATCACCACCACCACCACCACCACCACCACCACCACCACCACCACCACAGAAGTGATTATTCGTACAGGTGGAAGATATGGAAAATCTTACCCTATGGATTCTTTGAACTGTCCCTGACAATCCCTAGAGAGGTTGGCTCTCCAATGCTTCCATTCCAATATATATATCCTGTTGATTGCTCCGTTTCCAGCGTAGTTCCATAAAGCTTTCCATGGCTCTTCTTGCTTTCATTTTTCAACTGAAAGCTTACTGCCTGCCTCCTTGGGAAAGTAGCAGGCTCTCAGAACTATCTAGAACTGTCCTTAGTCTGAGAAGACCTAATGATTTCAGGAGGGGGCTTCTTCAGTTGACCTTTCTGTTTCTGTTAAGCAGGCCCTGCTGATTTGAGTTCTTCCTGCTTACTCTGCATAAAGGTGCTTTGGCTCTCAGTCCCCAAATTTATTTTATTTATTTGTTTTTTTATTTGTCAATTGCTTACAAGATAATAGGCATAAGTAAAAACATAGTTATGAATACATGGATACATATAAGAAAAAAATATATATAAAAGAAACAATAGGACAGGGACGGTAGGCACGTTGGTGCGCTTATGCACGCCCCCTACAGACCTCTTAGGAAAGGGGTGAGGTCAATAGTAGACAGTCTAAGGTTAAAGTTTTTGGGGTTTGGGGAAAAAACCACAGAGTCAGGTAGAGTATTCCAGACATTGACCACTCTGTTGCTGAAGTCGTATTTCCTGCAATCAAGTTTGGTGTGATTAACCTTGAGTTTCTATCTATTGTTTGCTCTTGTGTTGTTATGGTTGAAGCTGAAGTATTCATTGACAGGTAGGACATTGTAATGTATGATTTTATATACTATACTTAGATCAGACCAAAGGCGGCATAGTTCTAGGTTTTCTAGGTCTAGAATTTCGAGTCTGGTGGCATAAGGTATTCTGCAACGAGTAGAGGAGTGGATGCTTGATGGCACTACTATCTTTGTCTTTCTGTTTCCTTTTGTCATGTTTTAAATTCTCTGCAGGCCAGTAATAACTTTTCTTACTTCATAAATTCCAAGTTGTCTTTAAAATATCAAATAACCTTAGTTGTTGGGTCCCCTGAAAACTTATATTTAGCTATAGACTGACTTCCCAGCTAAAGTTAAGAGTTTCATCCAACACTCAGAAGTATCTCCCAATAAACAATGTTGCTATATAATTTTAATAATAAGCATATCCACCACAGGACAGTTTGGTAGTCCCTTTAGGCATGAAATCTATGTATGATAAGTCCTTCAGATGAGCTACAGCTCACAAAGTGAATTGTTCTGCCCCAGGATCTGTTTCAGTTGGCTGTTTAGCTTTGTAAACACTTTAGAAGCAAAGAAACAAATCTGCTTCATTGTGAGAATGGGAATTTAATTGGACTTCCTGGTCTCATGAATTCCAATGAAGTGAAGCATCTTTTGAATGATCAGCACAGCCCCAATGAAGATGGATATACTGAATGACTATCAGATTAACAAGTAAAAGAGAAATGTTCTCTCTTGTGTGTCTTTCTCCAATACAATTTGTAGTAATGGGTCAACAATCTAGTGGCCATTCTTCTCTCTACTTCTGCCTTTTATTTCCCCGTGCTGTGATTGCCCTTCTTTGGGCCTAGAAACATTTTTTTTTTTAAAGTAATTTTCCAACAATGCACAAGGATGTGACACATGAAAGAGGAACTGACTTTTTTTTTAGAATTGAAATCTGAAAATATCACGTTACTAAGGGAACAGCAACTCCATAATAAAATTCAATTTTAGCATAAAAAGAAATAACAAATGGTAAGAGTGTTCAACAAGTTTTTTTTCCTTTGAGATTCAGTCAATGAAGTCCAGTTTCATAGGGGTAACCAAGGCAATTGGAAGTACTGTAACTGGCTTTTTTCTTCCACTCAGAGGGAGTATAATGTTAGAGATAAAGCAGAAGTAAGAGTCCTATTTACCTCCAAGCAGTAAGGTTATAGATCCTAATTCTCTGTGTGTAGAGCCATAGTTTGTGCTAAGCCACAATGTGGATTTGGTTGTGAATCCTGGTTGAGAAAGATGTACATGCAACCACTGTAGTTTATTCAGCAAATCACAAGACTTAGAACAATGTCTGAACTTGTAATTATATGTGGGAATGAAGGCTTAAGAGACTAGGAAGAGCCACAGCCACAGGTTTGGTGGAATAAGGGGTAGCGTAGCCTATGAAACAGGAGTATGGGATGGCAAAAATCTCAGAAATCACCCTTTCTAGTTTCTTGAGCTGTAAAGGTTAGAAGAGAGAGAGATGTACATATTTCCAAACTTACAAGTCTTAATGTAATCTTACAATAAATATAATTGATACATCTGGGAGTGCTTCCTGTCTGGACTATCTTGCAGGGCTGACAGAATTTAGCTATTTGTTTAACCAGAGATTGTTGAACAAGCTATAGATCTGGTTCATATATAACACTAGATGGATTCATATCTCTTGGTAAGCCAAAACAAGCAGGTCCTATTGTGGTATAATAGAATGAATCAAACTAATAGTCTAATTGCAATCTGGGTAATTAGACTAGAAAGCTAATCTGGTGAACTATTATTTTGATTTTAGATTGGAAGGAAAGGGGAAAAAAATCAGTTAAATTATCATAGAGTGAGGCTTTTGTGCCTAAAAGATACACAAGGGATATGTATGAATGTTTTATTTTTCATTGATTATCACCTACTGTATCTAGTAGATTGATGGCTTCAGTTATATCTCAAAGGAAGTTATCATTAGAAAACTCCTCTCATGAGACATTCTATAATCAGAAAATATGATTAACTATGGCTGAAGAGAAAAACAAATTACCCAGTCTCAAAGAGAAAAACAAATTACCCTACAACAATAAAATCAACACATAAATATACTCTTATAAGTTTGAAAGATACCTAAAACACCTTAAGAATGATGTAGAAAGAAGTCAAAAGCCTTTTTTAAAACGGAAAATCAAAGTTTGACCAAGCATTGAATTGTTGGTGTTCTATGTTTCATACACATTTATTTTATTCAATTTCTATAGCTACCCATCTCAAACAAGTTACTCTGGGTAGTGAACAATTATAAACTCAATTAAAAGCCAAATACAAGTACAACACACACAAAAATTAAGACTCAAGCTGTAAATAAAGAGCAGAATTAGTAGAAGATAGATTCTGTACCCTGTATTCATTGTTAATAAAGTTCTGCCTCTGTCTAGATCGTAGTATTAATTTTTGCTGTGTCTTTCTGATGAATTTGAACTTCATCTGAGCAAGGTACTAGTGAAGCACCTCTTTTTAACTTTAATAGCAGGTACTCAAGGACACAGCATACCCAGCTTACCAGCTGAGCCAAGTAATAGACTACACAGATGCAAACCGAACAAGAGGCAGAGTAGACTGTGAGTTTACAGCTGGATAACTGCTCCTGAAAGGAAATGGGCTGATCACTTGGCCAAGCTGAATGCGGTCAGTTGAAGCTCTGTCATCCACAAAAGTGGAATGCATATCAGCAACACAAATGTGATAAGAAACTGTGTGGCTACATAAATTGTTAATGGGCTATGGAGTAGATATATCAACACAATAAGGAATGTATTCACAATTAACACAAATAAATCCAGGACACAGCACAAAGGCACACATGTGCAACACACAAGAAAGGGGACATGGACCTGAAATACTGCCCATTGGCAGAGATGATGGCAGATGAATTCACTAAGCTTTTGTTCAGAGATTGACTCAGACCACTTTGTGAGATGATGGGAATGGTAAATTAATGCATGAATATAGAAGGGACATTGCAAGTGTGCCTTTAGTTGTACTAACTCTTAGCACCTCAAAATCTATTGCTCACTTAGATGCATTGGGGTATAGATAGTTTAGAATTTCCTGTGTTTCTTCTTTAGCTCTTACTGCACTTTTCTTGTGAGTTTTCAAACTTCTTCCTGCCTGTTTCTCAAGCATAATTGCTTGCTTGATTTTCACTTGAAAGGATATAGTTAGTTGGAGTTAGCCTGCCCTCCTCCGTGTATTTCCTACAGTACATTTCTACTATCTCTTTCTATCTATGTAGGCCTGATGACACCAGAAGAGCACAAGAAGTTTGAAAGTTTAAATTCAGTGCATAACAAGTTTTGGATCCCATGTGTCTGGTTCTCAAACTTGGCAGTGAAGGCACGTAATGATGGGCGAATCCGTGACAGTGTACTCCTTCAAGGCATCTTGAATGTGAGTCAGATATACATCGCATATGTCATGTTTTGAATTCATTACCTGACATTTTTAGTCTCTTAGCAGAGGAGAAGCTCCAGCAAAACAGATGTTATACTTCAGCTTTCTCCATGCTAGAGGCCTACTATAATCAGATAAGGCTGTACAGCAAATTATATTTTGAAGGGAAAAGATAATTTGGTTTATTTGTGAGCACTGACAGAGCGGTTTCTTAAAGAAGCTGCATCTTTTCCTGGGTTTGCACTGCTACCCTCCAGAAATGCAATTCACTCCTGGGAAAAGACAAATTTGGTTTAAGGAAAAAATTCTAAATCTCCATTAAATCTAGATTTCTGTCTAGATCTCTCTAATATTGCAATATTCATCATTTCAGCTATTGGACCTGCTAACTATAGCCTGTGGAAAAATTAATAGCTTGGTACCACCATGGTGGGAAAGATTGCCATATATCAGTGTTTCTCAACTTCAGACAAGACCCTCAACAACTTTTAGATGTGTGAACTTCAACTCCCAGAATTCCTCAGGCAGTGTAACTGATGCTGGCTAGGAAATTCTGGGAGTTAAGACCACACACCTTAAAGCTGCTGAGGCTGAGAAACTCTGTTGTACACAATCCAGGATGGGTAGCATGAAAGGAAACCTAGAATCGGAGAGGCCTTTGGTGCAAAGGAAAGTCGAGGATTAATGTAGAGAAGTTATCAAGTTCTTACAATTCTACTACTTGTACAACAAGACCTTTTGACTATGCTCACTGTTAAACTCTCCTAGCCCCAAAATACCCTGGTCTAAATAAAAACACTAAATAAAAAGAGTTTAGTAGTACACTTTTCAGAGATTGCTGACAAAGACATGGATAACAAACTACACATTGAACTGAAATCCTATGGTGAAACTTTATTTCTTCTAATGGTACTTTTCCTTCCTTCCATCAGGAAATGAACACACTGCGTAGCCAATGTGGGCGTCTCTATGGATATGATTGGATTAGTATTCCCTTGGTCTACACACAGGTAGGAATTGTACTACAAATGTATTTTGGACTGATTGCAGCCAAAAGTACATCCCATTTATAAGAAAATAGATCTCATATGTGCTTCATATTAAGCCTTTCTTATAGCTTAGTTGAACTGCTATCTAACTTTCCTATAGGGTTGGTGTGTTCTGGATACTTTAAATTAAACAATGTCATATATTCAGACCTTAGAGATATGCCTTCTCTGTAGTAGCACTTGCATTCTGAGACAAGGTCCCCCCCACCATCCAGATGGTCTCCATTCTGCTGTTGTTTAGAAGGGCCTTGAAGATTTATCTCTTAACCCAGGCATTTGACAAGGGAGAATGAGACCCCTTCCTTCATTGTGTTTGCCAATTTTAATTGATTTTGTTATAATTTCTTTTGTTGCGAGCCACTCAGAATTATTGGCAGTTGGGCAGCATACAAGTTTCATATGAAATGTTCTGTTCGCATTACAGATCCCATGACTTGTTCCCATTGATTTTATTTGTCTCTGTTTCTGATCACTGCCACTCAGCTGATTATCTTCCAAAGGAAAGGATATAAAGGCTCACATTTTGAAATATGTTTGGAGCAGTGGTGGGATTCAATTTTTTTTACTACCGGTTCTGTGGGCGTGGCTTATTTGGTGGACGTGGCTTGGTGGTCATGTGACTGTGGGCATGGCTTGGTGGTCATGTGACTGAGTGGGTGTGGCTAACTTAATGTCACTCACGTCAAGGGCTGCCTCACCTGGCCCCTCCCTTCCCAGCCATTCCTTGTCACACCCAGCCTCAATTTATCTATAGTTCTGTAAAAATGTTGTTCACCTTTTTTTTGACTTTATTATCTACATACAATAGATGTACTTTCATGGACCACTGAAAGGAGAAAATGGCTCATATGCTTTGCCCAAGAGTGTGATAGGCAATAGGCTTTTAAGGGGCTGCCTGAAAGAAAGGGGGGGCAATGTATTTTCCAAAGCACCAGAAGGCAAACAAGAAGAAATGGATGGAAACTGAACAAAGAGAGAAGCAACCTAAAACTAAGGAGAAACTTTCTGACAGTTAGAACAATTAACCAGTGGACCTGCTTGTCCCAGAAGTTCTGGGTGATCAATAACTGGAAATTTTTAAAAGACTGGACAGCCATTTCTCTGAAATGGTATAGGGTTCTCCCCAAAGTCCCTTCTAAGTGTTATTCTGACACCTTTCCCAGGACCTCTACTCAGAGTTTGGCATCCTCAGGCTTGGACTAGAAGACCTCCAAACTCCCTTTCAACTCTGTTAAACACACATGTATTTATGCTCTGGACTATAGACATTGAATGCATGTAAACCCTGAAAAATATGTGGTAGCCTGGGCAAAAGAACAGCAGTAGAATCACTCTAGGTGTAGGGACAGTGTAAAATATTAACACATGATAAATAATGGAACAATTAAAAACAATAGCACAGAGTTTTCTCTGTCTCTCTCTCTCTCCCTTCCTATTTCTTTTTCTTTCTTTCTCTTTCTTTGTCTCTTTCTGTCTTTCTCTCCCTTCCTTTCTTTCTCTCTCTCTCTCTCACAGACACACGACACACTCTCTCTCTCTCCCTATTTCTTTTTCTTTTTCTTTCTTTCTTTCTTTCTTTCTTTCTTTCTTTCTTTCT